TAAAAAGAAAATAAAGATTGGAAGGGGACAACGAAAGAGACCCAAGTTCTCCGCTATATTAGATGCCTTGGTATCCAAACCTCGTTTTCTGAGAAAGTAGCCGCGGATGGACTTCAGAAAGAGAAAGGAGGAACAGCAAGCAGAAAAAGAAAACTCCTTCAGCCCGTCATCCCTTTTCCTTTTCTTTCCAAAGGAACAGTTTGAAGACTCAGGGTGTAAAAAGAGTAAAAAGGACAGAAATGGGTGTATAATGACGCCAACTGTTTGTCACGGTGACCTTAGTTACTCTTTATTCTAAGCCTTACACAAAGCAGCAGCTAACAAATTTAAACATAAGCATGCGTAGCATGCAAAAGTTTTTTTTTGGCTGGGCGGGTTGAGATGGGGCACTTTTTGTTCGTAATGTTTTCATTTTTGAAAAAGAAAAAGAGCATAATTTTCAAACGGACGAAAATATCGCACTACTTCAGCTAAAGAGAAAGAAAAAAAACTAATTTATCTGAACTCGCACAGGTATTTTGTGGCCTATTGTCTCTATTGTCTAAATACTTCTAAGCAAAGATAAAATCCACCGGTGCCACACTTGCTGTTGTTCCCCTCGCAGCCGTTGTTTGGTCTCGTCACACAACGCCATGTATCCCCTGATGGAAAGAGAGCGCGTTGCAGGAGGGGATTACAAGAGGGGCCCGAGCCCCCCCTCATTTTGGAGAAAAAAAAACCGCAGAAGGAAGAAAAGCCGGCAGGGCAAGCGACAAAAAACCGGGCCCCCCTTTAGCTCAAGGTCTGGATCCGCCACTGCATACCCTAATGCGGCAATATGACTGGTGCGAGATACATACCCAAATGCGGCGATCTGATTGGTACGAGCAACATACCACTCTACATGCTAACATAAAGTTACTTTAAAAAAAAAAAAGACGAATTCTAACGAAAAATAAGATGTTGATGTGGTTGGTACTCGCATTGTTTTGTTGTCATAAAACTAACGCTCGAAACGTCAGCTTTTCTACTCTTTACGGTGGCCAATTTACGTTTTCAACTCACTTGTTGACGCTAAGTTACCTGTTACACTCTCCCACCGACGCAGCACCACAGTTTCTTTAGAAACTTAACCCTTTAGTTCCACAAAAGGATACATTCTTGTTTGCAAACGGAAAAATAGCGACTTGACTACTACAGTGTTTCTAAAAGTCCTAATCATAGAAATCACAGACGGATTGTAACGTTCGATTATGTTCAGCTGCTTCAGTCCACAGCTGACTCGACTGAACGACACAAGCTGTGCTCTGAACACATCCGCATTTCATCACATTTGTGACAGAGTTTGACGTTATGATCGTCAGTATCATAGGAGTCCTTCACCGAGTGTTATTAGCGCTTCAATCGAGTTTAACAGAATTTTTTTTTAATAATATATACAGACAGGAATTATTAAGAAAAAGAATCGAAGAAGGTAAGTAGTACAAAATTTACCCACCCGCTGCTTTTATTCAAAGCAGGACATTGGTTCACCCTGATATCCATCACAACTTCTTCTGCTGAATATTTTTTTTAAGAGACGGATTCTTCAGTAGAATAAAACAGTTATGATTTGCTTAACACACAGTATCACAAGCCCGCAATTTTACATCCATCGAATTTACTAGTACAACATATTTACCTAGAATATCAATTAAGATAAAGCGTTTCCATATTAATCGTCATATGAAAATACATTTTTGTTAACAATATAGCTCACGAGACACCTGTAGGTAGGGTTCTCCGTATATAATAGATAAACTAATTCATCAAAACTATTTATGTCGTAAGTCATTAATCATTTATAGGTTCAGATACAGCAAAGTCGGCCATATGACAGCTAATATGTTAATATCGAAAACTTCGTGCTGTTGAAAGCCTGTTAGGCTAACATGGACGCACAAAACTGCAAAATGGCTTTAACAATTTTTGTTTCTAGCCTTGTTTTGTTAGCATCCGCAGATAAAAGAAATTTCACATGTGGTAAGTTATACAGCTACTCAGTCTATAAGAACATTCAAGATGTAAACAAAACCAAACCCTGAAAAAAACCGTATAAAGTAAATTGTGTAAAAGTGTAGTAGATGTAAATTGTGTTGATTAAGGAACTGTCCTAGTTCGCTCAATATCATCGCAACCATTAACACCATCTTTCTACGCCGTAACCACATCAAATGGAGGAATCATTTTAAACATGATATTCTCTAAGTGATCTATGTCGTTTCGGGGGAAATTGAATTAATTCACTCTTCACCATTTTGTTTATCAAGCGTGTCAAAGTAAATTCTTTTTTCAACCCTAAATTAAACTAATACAGAGAATAGGAGAAAGTTTGAAAAAGGTCAGCCGAGTGAAAGACCACTTAATCAGAAAAGAAACCCTTAAGACATTGCAGTAAATTTAAAAGTAAATCGCTCAACCCTTAATTGAAGTACAGGCAGAGGAAGCTAGTTTCCTGAAGTTCCGTAGCCGTGCAAATCCTGCATGTT